CTCAAATCACATAAACTTAGCGCGTAGTATAAGAACTTAGAATCAATTTTTAAAGTAACGTCTCAAAACCTTTCATCACATTATTTTCTAATGGCCTTGTGTTAAGCTTTCGTAAACACGAGATTTTTAAGTCCAGCAGAATGATTTCTTAAGTATATTTATGAAAATTATTTCCGTATGTCATAACCTTTGAAGAACGAGTTTAATTGTTGGGTTTGTCAAGGCACTGTGGGGTTTAAACATTTTCCTAGAAGTTAAATCCAAACTTTTTTTATTGTTTGACTTTCAAATAAGTAATTTTCTTTTTCAATTATGAACGTATACAATACAATTTTGAAAGACTCATTTCATAACGTTACTGCACAATATTTTTAATTTCAATTGACAAACATTTTTTAATACACACACATATTGCTACTTAATTTTTTTAAAATTAATTAACTTAAGTTTGGCTGGTTAACCGCTATTAACGGATCATATAGGGTGCTTTAACAACCTTCCCTATAGGATTATTTAGAACCCTTACCCATAATCTTAAGCTAACCAGACCATAAAAACAGAGTTAACTTTAAGCACTACTTAGTTAAAATTGGTGTCCTAATTCACCGTTAAAATTAATCAGGTGGCGACTCTCTTTAATAAATTAAACCTTCAGAATTACCAATATGTTATACTCTAGTTTGACCCGTGTTAAAATGGGTTATAACAGCATGGCGACTCTGCTGGGGATTCTAGGTTCTAAACCATAACAAACTTAGGTTAATAATAAAAATTATTTGTGTGTTTTTTATCGTTATGATGCTTATTTGAATTGCCTTTATATCATAAACTGTATTTATGAATTGTTTACCTGCTCTCATTGCTTTATATAAATTGTCATTCCATTTCACTTCCTCCACTTCTGGAAAATTCACACAAAGCACACACCTAACGGTTACGTGGTTTGCGGCTGTGCACTTTTCAAAAAATACCTTTTAGGGGAAAGTTCGTGGGTAAGTCAACCAGCGGTGCAGTCGACAGTCACGGGCTTTCCACTCTCAAGTTGTCTGCTTGGGAGAAGACCGGTCTAGAAAAACCCACTCTAGTCAGCCTAGGGTAGAGCTAAACCAAATCCCTTTTAAGACCATGCATCATTTTAACCTTAGGTGATTTAATACCCTAGGTGTATTAAATCCATTAGTTAACCTTACCTAAATGTCCAAGTGGGTTTTCAACCCCAAGTGACACTTATCATATTTATGTGCATTATTTAAAGGGTGAACATGCCAATTATGTGGATCATTTACTTTAAATTAATTAAATCCTAGTTAAAGGAGCATGGTTATCTTTTTTATAACATGTGTAAAGTTTTCAAATGACATAATCTTGCGGAACAACGAGAAGTTTACACATGACAAAAATATCTTTTATTGTACTTTCTTTTGATTTTCTTTACGTAAAAATAAATAAAATGACTTAAGCGATTCATGTACTTCTTTTGCTTTTAAAAAATAGAATTACTTACTTAATTAATTATAATAAAAATATTTTATTATACTTTCTTTTGTTCTTGTGATGAAAATACACTCTCTTTTTACAAAAAAAAAGAAGATGTTTAAGCAGTTATATATTTATTTTCTTTAAAAAAATAGAATTATTAATTTCTAGAAATGGAATGATACATAATGGCATATTTATCTTTCAAATACACGTTAGGCCTACCTCTGGCACTAAGAGGCCTCCCCTACATATTAGGACGCACAATTATTTGTTATACTTTGAAATTTGTAAAATGCTTGCTTTCTTATTTGCTTATTTGCTATGTCGCTTACATGACTTTATTACTTTCACTAACATCATTTGTTATTTTAGGACTATCCAACTTTCTAATGTATACTTTATTTGTTCATATATTTTTGTTATTTATTCTTTATATCATTTTTTCGATTTAATAATAATAATAATAATCATCACCAACCATTCCGCATAACGACTCTAGAGCACTATTTTTATATTTACTTAGGCTCAAATTTCTCTTAGATGCACTCCAATTCTTAGAATATGCTTAAGATGTCTTTTTAGTCTCTCGGCATGATCTTCTATTTTTATAAGGTAGGACGTTTTGCCCGCAAACTCTCAAACAAGCTCGATTTATCATCGTCCTTAGAGTAAGTCCTTAGATATTCATGCCTTCAACTAGCCTTAAGGATTTTCTTTAACCAACAAGGTGTATAGTAAGATTTTATTAAAAACTGGCATAATATATTATAATTAGGTAAAATATTTTGCCCATCAAATTTTGCGAGTTAATTTTATTTAGGTCATTTTATGGTTACATGTTTTTAAAATAATTCCACTCGTACCTCACATAATTTTATACCTTCAATTCTTGCACGTCTTTCCATACATGCCTAAACTTCTATCTCCAATAATATAAAATATAAATAGGTTTCATAAAATATAATTAGTATTTTACCTATGTATTAGAATTTTCACCTTCGTGCCAATTCTCATTTACATGTTGGTAGATGTCCAAACTTGCGCAATCTACCGAGCAATAGAAGGCTACTATTTTATCAATTTGCATCGTTAAATTATTCTAAATTTTTCACATATCCAATTCAAATGTTCGTATCGTCTTTTTTCGGGTTGCTAGATTAATCTACCTGCAACCGCCAATTCCAAATCTTGGCATGCGAGTCGAGGGACCGTTCCATAAGTCTCAAAACGGTTGATATCGTATTGCGGGCCTCGACAACTTTGTGATTTGCCAACGCTAAAAAATAAAATAAACAATAATAATAGAGTCATTTCATGTCCAATTGACTCTTATATCCTAATTAAGTATCTTGATTCTAAGCTTGCCGATATTCAAACAGCCAAAAAATTATTTCGACGTCAAAATTATTCGTCTTTGTCCTCTTTGAAACACAGTCTATATAAGGCTCAGTCTCATTAGAGTAAAAAATTTCCCTCAGAAAAGGAAATTGGGGCAGAATTATTTTTTATGCAAATTGATCAACTTTGAAGACATTGAGTATGCTTGCATAGGGCATCGTGCCATGGAGTAGTCATTAGAAACTTCCTAAAGATTGGGGCGATTTTTGAAATATGCCAGAGTCATGCAAAGAAAAGGAATTATGCTAGAGCTAAAGCTTTGATGTTCGACATAAGCCAGCATTTCACAAAACTTTAAATCAGTTTGCTTCCAGTCTCAAGCGTTAGAGCCCTCTAGATAACAAGTCATTCTCGTCCATCCATTTTGCAACTTAGGCTATCCTTTCTAGTTTAGGGCTCCTACTTAACCATATCATGAATTAATCAATCTAACTTTATTATTTCGTGCATTTATATGATGAATCCGCTAACACTTTATTTTTTGTTTGTAAAAGTTTTATTTTTTTTAAAGGTTGCCTAGCATTGAACACAGTTTTTGGTTGCGAATCTGCATAAACGACGAGACTATAATGGCAGACATATTTGAAGCATTCAATACCGATATGAGATTTTTGCAAGCAGAAGGTGATGATACCGAGGCAAATGTGGTACGAAGAAACTTGTTGGTTAATTTGGAAGCACTTTCAACCTTCTTCCAAATGCAACCTCCAGCTCCAGCTCCACCCAAAATATTGGCTTAACCATATCTCCTTATCCAACTCCTACTTATACAATCTCTCCAAAAATGCCAATAACCTGCAATCCTAATCAAGTCATGATGATTCCTAATACCAAACTTCCTATAACCTCAACTCCATTTAAGGAGGACAAGCAAAACCAACTAGTTGTATGCTCGTATAAGAGACTTGAAAAATCAACCCAGCAGATTTGCCGTGAAAATTTGGAAAAAGAACTCTGTGATTTGAAGAAAGCCATTGGAGAAGAATTGCAATCAAGAAATCATCAAAGTCTAAGATATGAAGACTTATGCCTATAGCCTGATGTAAAACTCCCACCGGGTTATTCGGATGCCAAAGTTTAATACTTTCAACGAGAAGGGAAGTCCCATTGCTCATTTGAAAGACTATTGTAGCAGGTTAATTGGCATAGGACACAACGAGTCCATTCGGATGAAGTTATTTATTCAAAGCTTATCAGGACCTGTACTTGTTTGGTACACAAAACAAGATTTTAGTAAATGGCACACGTGGGATGATATGGCTCACGATTTTGTAAGGCAATATGAGTTCAACCTTGGAGCTGATCCATACATGCATAGCCTGTACAAAATAGATAAAATACCACATGAATCTTTTCAGGATTATGGTGGAGAGTAAGCTTCGAAGGTGCACCCTCCACTATCCGAGAAAGAGTTGATCTCAATCTTCATTGACATTCAAAATGGCATATATTATGAAAAGCTGGCTACTGCGAACGTGCGTAATTTCTCAGACTTGATTAGAGTCGGGGACTTCCTAGAAGGCGGCATTAAAGAAGGAAAGGTTAACATGCAGACTATCAATCATGCTTTACAACCAGAGATGCTAGAGAATTGGAAAGGTAAAGAGAAGAAAAATGCCTCAGTTGCCATGACTATGCATCAACTGCAATGCCATCATGATCACCAGCTCTTGAAAAACTATGCTATCTCTAATGCCCGCAACATGCATCTCCAGCCTCCTCGCCAACAAAGCATTCACCATCAATATCATAGAGCACAAGTTGCTTCTCACCAATCCAAGAAAAGGAAGCCCCGCGACTTCATACCTCTGAGTGAACCAATCTCTAGCATATTTGCTCGATTGAATGCCTCAGGAATTATGCAACCAAAAAAAGGAAGGGTTTTTGGCCCTTCGCATCCATTATTCGACCCGTCAAAGTGTAACGACCCGACCGGTCGTTTTTAGAATTCATGCCTCGATTCCCTATTAACTGCTTCCCCTAAGTTTATTCTGCTATTTTGGTTTGCTGGGACATTCGGTGTGGGGTTTCGGAGAGTTTTGGGACACTTAGTCCCTAAATGAGAGCTTAAGTGTTGGAAAGTGGCCCGTAGTCAGAACAGTGTGAAGACGGCCTCGGAATGGAAATCTGACGGTTCCGTTAGCTCCGTTAGGTGATTTCGGGGTTGGGTGCGTGTTCGGAATGTATTTTGGAAGTCCGTAGCTCATTTAGGCTTGGAATGCCGAAGTTTGAATTTTTGAAGTTTCCTGTCCGATAGTGAGTTTTTGATCCGAGGGTCGGAATGGAATTCCGGAAGTTGCAGTAGCTCCGCCATGTCATTTGGGGCGTGTGTGCAAAATTTCAGGTCATTCTGACGTGTTTTGGTTAGGTTTTTGATCGAAAATGTATTTTGATGGAATTTGAAGTCCTTAGGCTCAAATCATTGATTAATTCGAGTTTCCGACGTTGTTTGAGGTGTTTTAAGGATTGGTACAAGTTTGAATGAGGTATTAGGTGCTATTGGTACTTTTGGTTGGGGTCCCGGGGGCCTCGGGATGATTTCGGGTGGTTAACGGAGGAATTTGAAGTTAATGCAGCAGCTGAATGTCCCTCTTCTGGTATTTTCGCATCTGCGGCTTGGGAACCGCAGATGCGGCGCCGCAGAAGCGGCTATTTGGCCGCAGAAGCGGCTTGTCCCCTTTTCCCTCAGAAGCCGCAGAAGCGGTGCCATTTCCGCAAAAGCGGAGCCGCAGAAGCGGCCCAGCTATTGCAGATGCGGCCCTGTCCCCTTTAATGAAAGCCGCAGAAGCGGTTGCTTTTTCCGCATAAGCGGGACCGCAGAAGCGGTCCCTTGTCCGCAGAAGCGGAAACACCTGTTCAGAAATATCAATTTCGAGGGTTTAATTTCATAAGTTTGAAAATCGATTGAGAGCTCGGGAGAAGGCGATTTTGAGTGGGTTTTGAAGAGAAAATCATTGGGTAACGTTTCCTTGATCCCTTTCATTATATTTCATCATTATATAGCTAAATACATCATTGGAATTCGAATTTAGGATCAAAAGTTGGTTAATTTGGGGTAAAACTTCATACACCAAATTATTGGGTTTTGAGGGGGCATTTGACCTCCGATTTGGGAGATTTTTATATGGTTAGACTCGTGAGAGTACGAGGGTTCTGAAAATGCAAAAATTATCCAATTCCGAGATGTTGGCCTGAGGGGCATTTTGGTCATTTTGCCTAATTTCACGCCTTAGCTTTGAATTAAATAGTAGAATCAGTTTCTTGATATGTTATTTACAATGTGTGATTTAATTGAATAGATTTGGACCATTTGGACTCGGGTACTCGTGGCAAGTACGTGGTTGTTAGCTGATTTTAGCCGGTTCGAGGTAAGTATCTTGCCTAACCTTGTGTGGGGGACTTCCCCTTAGGATTTGAGTCTTCTTTGTTGATTGTATTCCCTGTACGCGAGGTGACGAGTGCGTGCTCGGATTTATTTGTGGAAAATTGCCCTTTTAGGCTCTTAGGTACTTGTAATCACCGAATATGAAGTTGTTCTTGATACGATTGAGTTCCCTGTTATTTGTTCCACCTCTACACGACTTACTTGGAATTTATCTGCCCTTTTTGGTTATTCTTGTTGCCTAAATGACTTTTACTTGTTTAACTATAGACATTTGCCCTTCTGTAGTCGCATTATCATTCCTAACTGCTTGTCTTTATCTGGAAAGCATTATTTCTATCTCTCGTGTAATTAATTGGTCTTAATTGGAAAGAAGTTAGATATCCTATGTTTAGTCGATACTTCCTTAATTGTAATTATTTGATCCATGTTAACTTCCTTGTTGTAGAACTGAGTATTATGGAATCGTTGTTTCGTATTATTTCTCCCTTGTTGAGTTGTTCTTATTGCGCTTAGTATTTCCCTGTTACAGTTATTTCCTTGTACGTTAATTGTACCGTCTTTTGGTGAACGGAATCTCTTGAGTTGATTCTCTTGCTTTGTTCCTGTATATATTGTCATTTGTTAATATTGTGATGCACGAGGTTTCTGCCGTGCGGTTGTTGATATTGTGATGCACGAGGTTTCTGCCGTGCGCGGTTGTTGATATTGTGATGCACGAGGTTTCTGCCGTGCGGTTGTTGGTATAGTGATGCACGAGGTTTCTGCCGTGCGGTTGTTGATATTGTGATGCACGAGGTTTCTGCCGTGCAGTTGTTGGTATAGTGATGCACGAGGTTTCTGCCGTGCGGTTGTTGTTGAAGGGTTGCACGAGGTCTTTGCCGTGCTATTGTTGTTATTGATATTTTGCACATGCGGCGTAATAAGGCGGGATATGTTATATGCTTATATGTGGGTTGCGCATGTGGCGGAATAAGGTGGGAACATTGTGATGCACGTGTAGCGAAATAAGGCGGTGCTTATTATGTTATTAATTGCACACGTGGCGAAATAAGGTGGGCTATGTCAGGGGATGATTGTAGAGAATTGTGACGGCCTGTGGAGGCATTCCTATTTGTTTAATAATGTGATTGTGGGTTGCTTACCGGTATGAGATTTATCGCTTGGAAGTTGTGAGGAAATATCGCACGTGCGGTCTGTTCTCCTTTTCATGTTTACTAGCTGGTAGAATTTTGTTAGAAACACTTGCACAAGCATACACGTAGCTGAACACCCCTATTAGAGGTGAATTCCTCCTGATTTTGCTAAGGGTGGAGGTACGCCCTCGTTTATCCATTATATTTGTGAGAGTGGCCCTAGTAGCCAGTTAGTTATCGGTATGACCATGAGATTGATGGGGCACAGGATGCCAATTGTTAGATTGCAGATGCTGGGTCTTCGCGATTTGTGGTTTGTCCGAGACTTGGTGAAATTGTGGAAAGAGTTGGATAAGACCTTTGTGAACATCATTGTAGGATATGAGTTATTGACTTGTTTTTCCCATTGCTGTGTTGTGACCTTAGGATTTGGATTGTGATTCTGCCGTCATTTCCTATCCTCATTTATTATATCCTCGTTGTTACTTGTTGTATTTTTTTTTTCCTTATCGTGGATTGTAGCATTCTTGATCATTCATGCAGTCTTTACATATTTATATGTCATTTCCATTGTTCCTATGATTATACTATTTATTGACCGGTAGGTGCCTTGACTATTCCTCGTCACTACTCCACCGAGGTTAGTCTTGATACTTACTGGGCACCGCCGTGGTGTGCTCATGCTACTCTTCTGCACATTTTTGTTGTGCAGATACAGGTACTCCCACTCAGTTCTGTCAGCCTTGGAAGGAGGCGTATCGATAGAGACTTCGAGGTATATCTGCTACGTCCGCAGACCGAGGAGTCCCTTTCCAGCTTTCTGTAATAAGTATAGCTATTTCAGCATTTCTCCTTTGTATAGATATTCTTGAGTCAGAGCCTCTTATATATCCCTTAGCTTGTGATTTGTGAGTTTCCGAGTTTTGGGAATTGTTTTAGACTTGTGATGTTGAGTTGTACTTGCCATGCAGCATTCAGTACAGTTTCCTTTAGATATTTGATTTGATTTTTCTATTTTTCCGCAATTATTATATTTCCGCAAATGTTAGGCTTACCTGGTCATGGGGACCAGGTGCCGTCATGACATGTTCACGGTTGGTGAACTGGGGTCGTGACATTATCTTTGTGTTTTCATTTTATTTTCGCAATATTAGGCTTACTAGTCGTAGAGACTAGGTGCTGTCACAACATTTCACGGAGGGATAAACTGGATCGTGACAATTAAAATCTTAATTTTCATTTAACTCTACAGTACATAAATTTTTAGAGTAAATTATCAAAATGCTCCTTAAATGTATGAAAATTATCAATTATTGCCTTCAATAAATATCTTATCTTATATAATCTCAATAGGAACAAGTCTTTGATCGTAGCAATTCTACTCCCACACAAAGAATCAACCTGAATTCTCAAGAATGCAAAACATGTGGGAGACGCTTGAGTTTTTGCAACGATGTGATCGCCTCCGTCGTTGCCGCCACCGAAGTAGTGACAGCTTTGAGTAAATAATTGACTTCTACTAAAGCAATTTCCTCTTCTCACCTCTGAAGCAAATTCTTTCCCCTCTCCCCTCGCCATTTCCCTATCAAATTTGTCCCTTACCTTCATTTGCCGACCGCCGTCATTGTCCTCGACGTAGGGACGACTCAATAAAATCGGAGGCCTAAAGTAAAACTTATAAAGATGTGAGGAAATAACATTAGTAATGTGACAAGGTTGAACAAATAGACACGATTAATTTAGATAACCAAGAAAAAATTATATATCGATTTTAACAAATTTTCCTTCAACTTTTCAAGTTTCTTTTAAGTATTCCACAATATAACATTATCTAATATTTTAAAATATTGTGTTAAATTATTCAAATTTTCATATTTACTAATAAAATATTTAATAACTAGAACCAATATAGTATATTGAAACAAAATGTTAATATTTTGTTAACTTAAAAAAACCTTAGTAATATAAATAATTATAACTAATAGAAAAACTCTTGGGAGCCTAAAGCAAAAGCTTTAGTAGTAGTGAAAAAAAAAAAGACCAGACCCTTCCTTTCTTCAACAGACGGGTCCCTTCCTCCTTGGACAAAAACCCTAGCCGCCCTTATTCCCCCTCTCTTCTCAAAATAGACCCCCTCCCTCAAGAACCCTAGGTGCCGCCCCCATTTTTCCAAAATTCTCTCAAGAGAATCCAAGTCACAGATTTCACTCCTTCACTCACATTTTTTGGGCACACACACATTCATCTTCACTCACGGATTTTTCCTCTAAAAAACAAAATCTCTTCACCTCTAAAAAAATAGAGAAAAGCTCTGAAACCAAAAAGTTTCAAAACCAAAACAAAGTTATAAAAGGAAATAAGCTACAAAGTTGATTTCTGGAAAACTGTTCGAAGCTATAACTATTTCATCTTCATTTTCTGGGTTTCAACATCCTTTGATGGTGATTTGCTGTTTGGTTCATCGCTAAATCTGCTAAGCTTTGCTTTTTTGGACTTTATTTGGCATTTTAAAGTTATTTTCTGCACAACCAGTTCTTTATTTATACACAGTAGCATCATGACTTCTTCGTCCAATGCTTCTTCGGAAATTCAGCGGGGTTCTTATGAGGGCCCTAAAGAGTGGACCATCGAGGATTTTACGACCCTTAGAGTCCTTCAAGAAGGAAAATTTTCCGTGCGGGAGGAAAAGACCGGTAAAAATTACGTAATTAAAAAGTGTTGAAGAAGCGACTGGAGGAGTCCAAACTTGTGCATCAGTTATGTCGTGAGGTTAACAATCACTATTACCTTCAACATGAGAATATCGTGATGCTTCATGCTCGCTCTGATGATAAGGAATACCACTATTTCATTCTAGATGTTGTGTTTGGTAGTTGCCCCTGTGACGAGCTGAAGGGAGGAAAACATTTTGAGGAAAAGCTTGTTGCAAGATATGTTGCATCAGTTGCAAAAGGCCTCATATACTGTCACAAGAAGAATTGATACATAGAAATATTTGCTCGGAGAACCTTTGGGTGGATGCAGATGGTATCCTTAGAATTGCAGACTTTGCTTGTTGTGTCCGCACTGTCAATGGCAAAAGACGGTCTGTTTGTGTCATGGCAGACTATTTGCCACCTGAGATGATGGAAGGTGATGGTAAGGAGTATGATAAAAGTGTCAACATTTGGTCCCTGGATGTCCTCTTCTATGAACTTGTATATGGGGTGCCTCCATTTGGAGTAGCCAGAACCTCTGATATAGACGAACTCGCAGTATTACGTGAGAGGATTCTGAAAGTGGAACTAGAGTTTCCTCCCACACCAAAAGTCTCACAAGTTGTGAAGGAGCTTATTTATAAGATGCTAAGGAGAGAGCCTCTCGAATGTCTTCCTCTGGAGGACTTGGTTCTAGTGTTGGAGAGATTCTACAGCTAGATATGGGCTCACCACAGCTCACCACCAACAGCAATTATGTCTGTTTAGGACAAGTTTAGAACAAGTTTGATGGACTCTTTGGTATCTGTTTAGGACAAGTTTTTTTTTTGAGCTATTAATTCTTCATTTGAGAAGTATAGCACTAATTTTTCTAAGTAGCATAAGACATGTATTCTTTGATTAGGTTTGCACTAAAATGAGGTCAATTGACAAAAAAAAAAGCTTTAGTGGCTTTACCCTAGAGCCACCCAGGTATTTGGATCCAAAACAATCTAGGTATTTGGATAGAGGAAGATAAAGAGATTGCTGAGGAAGCAGTTAACTTCTATGAAGAACAGTTCAAAGAAATCACAGTGCCAACCTCATTTCACATCTTAAATCATGTGCCAACACTGGTTGATATGGAGCAGAACTCAGCACTAGTGAAGCAACCAACAATAGAGGAGGTTAACTTGAATGGGTTGTCGGATTTTGTTAGTTTTGTTGGGTTCCGAGGCGTGGGCCCGGGTGTGGTTTTTGGCCCATTTTGGGTTTTGATTAAGGATTTGATCTTTATTATTTGGAATTGTTCCCTTGGGCTTTAATTGATGTATTTGAGTTGCTTTTGGCTAGTTTTGAGCCATTCGGAGGTCGCTACGCATGTGATGGAATTTTTGGAGCATCGCTTGTCTTGCTCGGTATTGGAATTGGCTTGTTCTAGGTAAGTAACTCTTCTAAACTTAGTGCTGAGGGTACGAAACCCCAAATTACGTGCTACGTGATTGATGTTGAGGTGACGCACATGCTAGGTGACGGACGTGTGGGCATGCACCCTGTGAATTGTGATTGTGTTATTTCCAGAGCACTGTATAGTGGTCCTATTTTGTTGATATTCGTGTTTTCACCATGTGATAAAGTAATTGAGCTGTCAATCATACTAGATATCATGTTTAGGCTTTATGCAGATATTGTTGAGACCCATAGTGGTAGTTTCTTGCTATCATCTCACTGATTTCATTGATATTTCGTACTCAGTCATATTCATACATTCATATCATATCTCAATCTCAGTTATTATTTATTGACACATCATATCATTGTTGACGGGCTAGTTTCATGACATTGTGAGCCCGTGAGTGAGACTGGAGAGATTGATGACTGAGTGAGGCCGAGGGCCTGAGTGTGAGGGTATTGATACTATAGCATGTGAGTCGTCCATGCAGATTCTGATATTGGTACTATAGCACGTGAGTTGTCCATGCGGTTCTGATATTGATACTATAGCACGTGAGCTGTCCGTCCAGATTATAGCGCTTGGGCTGTAGGAACCCCTCCGGAGTCTATACACACCCCCAGTGAGTGCGGTTGATTATATTGAGGGATGGATCTTCCCTGGACATGGATCTTGTCCGAAGCATTTATATACCTGGAGATGGATCTTCCCCATGGGGCTGGATTGGCCTTCCTCGATACTGAGTGACTGATGGTCAGTGATGTATATATTTCGGGATAGATCTTCCCTGGGTTGTATGGGCCATATACAGTACTGAGTGGTTGTGCATGATGAGTGGAGAGTGTGAGACAGTGAGATTTAGTACTATGAGAGTGTGAGTACATGATTCATCTCTGAGATACATGGCATTGGCATGCACACATGACATACAGGCATAGTGATGCATTTTTTTCCCTCGTGTTGTACGGTATCACGTCATTCATGACTTTTTACACACATTGAATGTGAGCATAGAGAGGTATTTTACACTTGCTATCTGGAAAGAAAATAAAACATCTTATTTATTGTGAAAAGAATTTTTGGAAAAAATACAATTTTCAAACTATCTCATATTTTTTGACGATTTCGGTAAAGAATTTGGGTTTTCACTGTTATTCTTGGAAAGCGGAACTATTTTCGGAAAACTGTAAAAAATCCGAGCATTTTATCTCTGAGTTACTTCCTTATTTATATGCGCTACAATGTTATTGTCACAACCCGAATTTCCCACCCTCAGGAGTCGTGATGGCGCCTACTGGTGAAAGCTAGGCAAGCCAATTATTTCAACTATTTAACTTTTTCTCATTTTTAATCCTTTAACAGTTATGAATCAACATCATATAATCACCGGAATTAAATAAGCGGAAGAACAAATTATAACCATTAAAATATTACCAATACAATTCCTTAAACATAGACTACCCAGAACTGGTGTCACAATTTCACAGACTGTCTAAGAATACTACAAATAAGGGTCCGAAAGATAAATACAACGCTGTCTCTGAAATACATAAAAGAAACAGAATGAAGGTATAGTAGGAGACGCCAAGGCCTGCGGACGCCTGCAGGACTACCTCGGGTCTCCGAATGGACTGAAGGCAGCGACCCAAAGCTAAGGTCCATATGCTCCAGTACCGGGATCTGCACAAAAGAGTGCAGAGTGTAGTATCACCACAACCGACCCCATGTGCTGGTAAGTGCCTAGCCTAACCTCGGCGAAGTAGTGACGAGGCTAGGACCAGACTACCAATTAAACATGTGCAGTTAAATCATATACCGCGGAAAATAAAGGCGAACTTTACAATTAAAGATAGGAAGGGGAAATCATGCTGCGGGGAACAGCAAGTATCAAAAGAAAACCAATAGTTAAATGTAGAGAAACCATAACTCAGTTATCATTAAAAATTAGGAAATCAAAGACAAGTGCACGGCATCACCCTTCGTGCTTTAACATTCTCTCACGAGTAACATGCACGGCATCACCCTTCGTGCTTTAACACTCTCTCACAAATATCGTGCACGGCATCACCCTTCGTGCTTTACACTCTTCCTCACCCAAGCAACAATCACAAGCAATTTGGGCAAGGGAATTAATGACATCACAATAAAATCAAGTAGCAACAGAAAATCAAGAAATAAACGTAAAGAACACCACAACCCAATTATCAGCAAGAATCAGGAAAATCAAGGACAAGTGCACGGCATCACCCTTCGTGCTTTTACTCTCGTCCTCACCATAAGAATCAATATAATCAGCATGACATCACCCTTCATTCTTTTACCTCACATAATCATGGCACGGAATGATCCTTCGTGCATTATCACTCATATAAAGGCACGAAATGGTACATCGTGCGGCACGGCATCACCCTTCGTGCATTAACACTCTCTCACAAATATCATGCACGGCATCACCCTTCGTGCTTTAACACTCTTCCTCACCCAAACAACAATCACAAACAATAAAGGCAAGGAATTAAATAAAATCACAATAAAAATCCCGGCAAGGGAACAATAGTACAACAATTATATTCCGGCAAGGGAAACAATATCAAAAGCAACAACATCCCGGCAAGGGAGAAAACCTTTAAAAGCAACAACATCCCGGCAAGGGAGATAACATTAATAGCAATAAAACCCGGCAAGGGAGACAATTTCATAATCCTCTTCTCTTTTCACATTTACTTCACAACTTGAGCCAATGCTCCATAATGTTCAATTGCCAATAATACTTCCACAAATCAATTCACAACTTGAGCCAATGCTCTATAATGTTCAATTGCCAATAATACTTCCACAAATCATTTTACAACTTGAGCCAACGCTCATCAATGTTCAATTACCAAATTTTTTTCCACAAGCCTTGTTCAACAATAGAAATATCACACAATGCATGGACAATACAAAACGGAGTCATATTAATCATAGCATAAGACTCACGGGCATGCTTGACACTAACGTATAGATACTCGTCACCATGCCTATACGCCGTACTCAACAATTAACACGTAGCAAATAAGACACAACTCCTAATCCCTCAAGCTAAGGTTAAACCAAACACTTACCTCGATGCCACGAACACAATTCAAGCCTCAATTACCGCTTTACCTCTTGATTCAACCACCAATTCGTTTGTATCTAGCCACAAGTTACTTAACTATATCAATAAATAATAAATGAATTAATTCTAATGCATGAAAATAGATTTTCTAAAGTTTTTCCCAAAAAGTCAAAAATCGACCCCGGGCCCACATGGTCAAAACCCGAGGTTCGAACCAAAACCTGATTACCCATTCACCCACGAACCCAAATATATAATTTATTTTGAAATCGGACCTCAAATGGAGGTCAAAATCCCCAAAATTTGAAAAACCTAGGTTCTACCCAAAACACCCAATTTCCCTCATGAAAACCCTTGATTTTGAGTTGAAATCATGTGAAAAGATGTTGAAGATTGAAGAAAACGAGTTAGAAACGACTTACAATCGATTTGGAGAAGAACTTTTCTTTGGAAAATCGCCCAAGAGAGTTTATGTTCTGAAAGAGTTTGAAAAATGAAAGATTTTCGGCTAAGTCATGAATTTGCAGGTCGCAGATGTCGCAATTGCGACTAGGGTTCACAATTGCGAATCCTTCAGAACCTGCTAACTTCGCAAATGCGAAGACTTTGTCGCATTTGCGACCCAATGCAATTCCGGTCCTCTTCGCATTTGCGAGGGACCCTTCGCATTTGCGATATCGCATTTGCGATGAATACGTCGCATTTGCGACCCAAGGCAGCCCAGGTCATCTTCGCATTTGCGATAAAGCTTTTGCGAAGCCTGCAGACCTGCAACATACCAGCAATTCCTAAGTCCATATTTCACTCCGTGGCCTATCCAAAACTCAACCGAGCCCTCGGCTCCAAACCAAACATGCACACTAACCTAAAAATATCATACGGACTTGCTCGTGCAATCAAATCATCAAAATAACATCAACAACTATGAATTTAGCATCAAAATCAAAGAAAATCTCAAGAACTTTCGAAGTTTCAAATTTTACAACTAAGGTTCCGAATCACGTCATATGACCTCCGTTTCATACCAAACTTTACAGGCTCAACTTAAATCACATATAAGACCTGTACCGGGCTCCGGAACCAAAATACGGGCCCGATACCATCAAATTTCAAACACATTTTATTTTCAAAAACTCATATATATTCCAGAAAACAATTTTCTTTAAAAATTTATTTGTCGGGCTTGGG